AGACCCCATTATTGAATGAGATATCAAATTATTCAGTTAAGAGTGAGTTAGGAGAAGTTGGTGATCTCTTGGACAAATCACCGAAGGTGCCAAGATAGGTTCATCACGAGCAGGAAGGAACAAGGGAAAACAGGAGGTTTTCCCCGTGGACCGACCCGTGATGAGATCCTATTCCCGGGCCCTCAACAGTTTTGTGCATCGTCTTGGTCTTTGGTTGGATATACTTGATTCTTGAGTGCTCATGTGTGTGTTTCTAGGACGCTCTCAAACTCAAAAGGGTTACAAATGTTATAGTCCTGCACTTTACAAGTAATTTGTTCTTCCTGATGTTTCATTCTTTGAGAATGTACCCATTTTCTCTATAGTAGAATCTTCCCCTTCTCCTATTCCTCTCTCTTGCCATTGCAGAGTCCTTGTAGGTTGTCACTATTAAGGAGGCTACACAACCACCAAATCATAGAGTGTACTCCAAGTGAACATAGAAACTGGTTGATCCAACTCAACCTTCTATTGTGCCTGTAGAGAAAATGGTTGACCAGCTTGTGGTCCCACCACCTGCTCATATGTTCTTTCTTGTCTACAGTACTGTTAGAATTTTTCTGTTGTTTCTAGTGACAGGGGCATTCCTGTCATTGTACCACTTAATGTTGAAGACTTAATTTAAATGACATTTGGGGCGGAAGACCAAGAGTGCCGAACCCTCACATTCTCTTCTTTTCTCTCTTCCTCTTCTCCTCTCCTCTTCTCTCTTCTTACTCTCTTCTCTTTTCTTCTCTCCTTTTTTTCTCTTCATTTCTGGTTTATTTCTCCTTACTTGACAGGCCTGAACCTTCTTGGTTTCAGACAACTTGGTATCAGAGCAGGCCTAAACCTGGCTTAGGCTCTCATGTAGGTGTTGACCATCCGACTACATGAGAGTGTTCTAGGGCTGGAAGCTTCAACTTGAGTCGCCTGGTTCTTGGAGGTCATTGGAGATTGAAGAAGGTGCCCAAGATTCAAATCTCTTGGAGAGTTGTCCAGTGACCAGGAAGAATTGGAGAAAACAGGTTGGTTTCTAGTTTAGAACTTAAATCAGAGATTGAGAGTGGAGCCCAGTAATTTCTGGGTTGTTTTTATTTTTCTGGACTGTTAAAGTGTCTGAAAATTCTTTGAAAATAGTACAGCTATTCGGCTGTTCTTTTAGACTGCTTCAGCCCAGAAATTTCTGGGTTGTTTTCATATTTTTTGGACTGTCAAGTGGCTGAAATATCTCTGGAATCAGTACTGCTGGTTGTTGTTTCTCTTGAACTGCTTTTGGGCACCTGTATGGACTGTTCTCTGGACTGTATTACTTTTTGACAGTGTGGTCTCATCTATTGCCCACCTTGTGTTTGTAAAAAGGCCTGTGCACCTATACGGACTGTTCTTTGCTTCCTTTGAGTATTGTTTGGTCAGTACCTGGAACTTCTGCTTAGAAAAGGGTTTTGAACAGTGCTGTACTCCTCATTCAGTGATTATTTTTGGTCCACTTCAGCATGGAAATGGCTGGAAATGAGAACAAACCAAATGGAGATGGACTTGTTGGAGCTGTAAACTCTACTGATAACAGTTCATTTCAGATTACTACAGTCAAGTTTGATGGAACAAACTATTTGGAATGGGCCCAATCAGCTGTGATGGCCATTGGAGGGAGGGGAAAACTAGGGTATGTGATGGGAGACACAGAGAAACCAGTACAGGAGGACCCTTCTCTTGCTAAACGGGTTCAAGAAAACTATTTGGTAATGACTTGGTTATGCAACTCTATGCAGCCCCATATCAATAGAAACTATCTTTGGGCAAAAACAGCTAAGGAGATTTGGGACAATATGAAGGAAACCTATTCTTAGCTCCTTAATGGTGCTAGAGCCTATGAACTGAAAATGAAGGTGAATAATCTTAAACAGGGGGAGAAACCTATGTCAGTCTATTTCTCCACCTTGAAATCATTGTGGTATGAGATTGATCACCTTGAGACTATTGAGTGGGAGAGCCAAAAGGATGCTGCTACATACAAGAAATTGGTTGAGAAAAATAGATTGCTTGAATTCCTGGCTGGGCTGAACTCTGACTATGACATTGTAAGACAGCATCTTCTCACTAGAGAGTGTGACTCTTTATCTCAAGCCTACTCTCTGGTACATAGTGAGGAGAGTAGAAGAAAAGTTATGTTGCAGATCCCATCTATGGAATCAGCTTTAACAGCTATAAAACCAAAGACTGGAGGTGATAAGGAGAGGGAGATAAAGAAGGATGGAAAGAGGGATGTGTTTTGTGACTACTATAAGAAGCCAAAACATACTAAGGACACTTGTTGGAAGCTTCATCCTCAGCTAATTCCAGAAAGACTTAGGAACAAGAAGGGAAATGCTAATGCAGCTATAACCACAGGAGTTTCATCTATAGTTGTGATCACAGGAGCTCCATCCACTCCCAACACTAGATCTAGTTCTCTTGATGCATTGGTTGCTGTTAGGGCTGCTTTATCTCAACTGGAGAGTGGAGTTGATGGCTCTGGACAGTCTCATTCTACTTCCATCTCTGCTTTTGCTCAATCAAGTACAAGGGCCTCTGCCTATCATGCCTCTACCCCAGGTAACACTAGCCATTTTTGGATTATTGATTTAGGTGCATTTGATCATATGACCAGTTTATCTTCATTATTTCACACCTATTGCTTTTCCTCTAGGAGAGACAAAGTGTCTATTGCTGATTGCTCTCTTGTCCCTATTTCAGGCAAGGGAGACATCAATGTCTCTGATGCTATTTCCTTATCCCCAGTTCTGCATGTTCCTAAACTAAGCACTAATCTGCTTTCTGTCAGTAGTATCACTAAACACCAAAACTGTTCAGTAACCTTTTTCCTTGATCATTGTGTTTTCCAAGATCTGGCTACCAAGAAGGTGATTGGAACTGGCCGTGAGACGAATGGGATCTACTTGCTTGAACATCCACCTGGGAAGAGGAAAGAAGATAGGAAGTCTTTTGTGTCACAGCTTGTGAGTCAAATTATGCTTTGGCATAATCGAGTGGGTCATCTCTCTTTTGGGTCTTTAAGGAGTCTTTTTCCTAATTTGTTTGAGTCAATCCAAGTGTCTAGTCTGAAGTGTGAGTGTTGTGAATTGGCAAAGCATTGTAGATCAACTTATTCACAAAGTAATAAAAGTTCTGCTCTTTTTGAAATTGTGCATACTGATGTTTGGGGGCCTTATCATATTTTGGCTATAGGTGG